TGAAAATTAATATAAGTATATATAATAAATTAAATGGAGATTTGTAATTAGTTATCATTATATAATAAAATTGAAGGGGAGATTAATAAATAAATATGAATTATTTTTGAAGGTAATGTTCTTAATTATATTTTATTGTAAAAGCATAATATTATATAATTTACGATTTTAAGTTAATTAAACTTTAAACCTTCAAAGTTTAATATATTTATTGAAAATAATTATATCTTAATTAATAATAATAAAAAATGATTCTACTCAACTAATCACAAAAATATTGGGATATTATATTTTATCTTTGCAATATGGGCCGCTACTCTATAGGAGCCTCGATAAGAATAATTATCCGAATGGAATTAAGAACCCCAGGAGGATGAATTAACAATGATCAAATTTATAACTCTATTGTAACGTCACACGCTTTTATCATAATCTTTTTTATAGTTATACCATTTATAATTGGTGGATTTGGAAATTGATTAGTTCCATTAATAATTAGAGCACCAGATATAGCTTTTCCACGTATAAATAATATAATATTTTGACTATTAATTCCATCGCTAATTCTTTTATTATTAAGAAATATTTTTAATTCAGGGTCAGGTACAGGATGAACAATCTACCCCCCATTATCGTCTTCAGAATTTCACCGAAGATCATCAGTCGATTTCACAATTTTTTCCTTTCATATTGCTGGAATTTCTTCAATTATAGGAGCAATTAACTTTATTGCATCAATTATATTAATAAAAAACCTATCTTTAAATTATGACCAAATTCCTCTATTCCCCTGATCTGTAAAAATTACTGCAATCTTACTTTTATTATCTCTATTTACCAGTATTAGCTGGAGCTATCACTATATTACTTACTAATCGAAATTTAAATTCATCATTTTTTGACCCTTCAGGAGGAGGTGACCCTATTCTATATCAACACCTTTTTTGATTTTTCGGACATCCTGAGGTATATATTCTAATTTTACCAGTATTTGGTTTAATTTCTCATATCATTTTTGATATGAAAGAGGAAAAAAAGAAATTTTTGGTAACCTAAGAATAATTTATGCCATATTAGGGATTGGATTTTTAGGATTCATTGTATGAGCCCATCATATATTTACAGTAGGACTAGATGCTGATACACGCGCTTACTTCACTTCCGCAACAATAATTATTGTTATCCCAACTGAAATCAAAGTATTTAGCTGATTAGCAACTTATTGTGGTTCTAAAATTTATTTGGACCCATCTATTATTTGATCTCTAGGTTTTATTATTCTATTTACCATGGGAGGTTTAACAGGAATTATATTATCAAACTCTTCTATTGATATCATTCTTCATGACACATATTATGTTATTGGTCATTTTCATTATGTACTTTCAATAGGTGCAGTCTTTGCAATTATTGCAAATTTAATTCACTGATTCCCAGTTTTTACTGGATTAACTTTAAATAAGCATTTACTAAACTTCCAATTTATTATAATATTCATTGGGGTTAATATAACTTTCTTCTCACGACGATACTCTGATTATCCTGATGCTTATTATTGTTGAAATATTATTTCATCTATTGGATCAATAATTTCCTTCAATAGTATAATTCTATTAATTATAATTATTCTAGAAAGATTTATAATAAAACGATTAATTCTATTTAAATTTAATCATTCATCGTTAGAATGATTAATAAATTATCCTCCATTAAAATCATAGATTTAATGAAATCCCAATTATCCTTAAGAAATAAATTTAATATGGCAGATTAAGTGCAATGAGTTTAAGCCTCATATATAAAATTCAATAATTTTTATTAAAATAATTTATTAATATAATTGAATCTTCTTTCATAAATATCTAATTAAAAATGGCTACATGAAATACTCACCTTTTGCAGATAATTTAATTTATTTCTATAACTTTACAATAATTCTTCTAACAACAATCATCAGACTTACTATATATATATATCATAATTTTTATCTTAAATAATTAATTTTTAAATTTAAAATTATTAAAAAATAATAACATTGAACTTATATGAACTATTACACCCATAATTATACTAATAATTATCTCAGTACCATCATTAATGTTGGGATTATGGAATGAAAATGAATATGATTCTAATTCTTTTCTTAAAAAGACTTTATTTTATTCCTTTATTGAGAGAAGGTATATGGGCGAAAACGATCGAGCGACCAAACTCTACTGAGAGTCCGGTAAGAAAAAACGCTTCTTTTATACCCTTCTTGGGTTCGTCTTATCCACCAATCAGAGACGTTTTATTTGTCGCGTTTCACATTGTATACGTGACGCTGGGATCCCCAAACAGTCAGGGCACGATGTGTATCTAATGGTACCGGTGATGATGTATCGCGGTATCTATTATATACAGTTTACATCACCGTCGTTGCCCGCTGACGGAACCGACGAAAATGTAAACCGATATCTTAGTATCTTAGTACTAAGTAAACTATAGATTAATTTTTGTTCGAGGCTAAAATTTCAACAATTAAAAACATTATATTTTATCGATGAACTATGAAACCCAACTTATTTTACTTTAAAGTCCATTGGCCATCAATGATATTGATCCTATGAATACCCTGTATTTGAAAATATTTCATTTGACTCTTACATAATTAAATATATTGAAAATTTAAATCAATTTTGTTCATTAAATGTTGATAATCGTGTTATTATGCCATTTAATACACCCGCCCGATTATTAGTAACTTCTATAGATGTAATCCATTCTTGAACTGCCCCTCCTTTAGGTATTAAAATAGACGCCACTCCAGGACGAATCAATCAAATATCTTCGATTACCTACCGACCTGGATTATATTTTGGTCAATGTTCAGAAATTTGTGGGGCATATCATAGATTTATACCTATTGTAATTGAAAGAACAAATTATTGAAATTTCATTAACTGAATTCATAATATTAATTAAAAGAAAGAATTATTTAATTTATAACATTAAATTGTCAATTTAAAATAATTATTATATAATACTCTTTTTTATTCATTAGGTGTCTGAATCAAAGAAATGGTCTCTTAAACCAATTTATAGTAATAAAACACTTACTCCTAACGATTATAAAAATTTAAATAATTAATGAATAATTAAATAGTATTCTTTTATACCACAAATAAGTCCAATAAGTTGACTTTATTTATATACTTTTATAATTTTATTAATTTTATTAATAATTTCAATTAACTATTTCAACATAAAATTCAATTATTCAACAATTGAAGAAAATCTTTCTCACTTTATCTAACTAATTATTTAAAAATAATAATTGTAATAAAATTAAAATATGATAAATAATATATTTTCCATTTTTGACCCTTCAACAAAAATTTTATCTATAAATTGAACCTCAATTATCATCCCTCTAATATTATTAAATTGATCTTACTGACTAATTCCTTCACAATTTAATATTTTATCTATTTCCTTTTTGTAACTATATTATAAAGGAATTTCTAAGTTTATCAAAAAAATCATTCTACCCAAATTTAATTATCTTCATTACCATAATAATTCTTATTCTAAACTTGAACTTATTAAGACTATTCCCATACATTTTTACTCCAACCAGACACATATCTATCAATTTATCTATATCTTTAATGTTATGAATTACATTTATATACTTTACGGATGATTAAAAAATACTAATCATATATTCACTCATCTACTACCATTAAATACTCCACCCATATTAATAATTTTTATAATTATTATTGAAAGAATTAGAAACACCTAATTCTACCCTGAACCTTAGCAATTCGACTATCAGCAAACATACTAGCTGGCCACCTTTTACTCTGATTATTAGGCTCTGCCATAAATATTTCATCCATTATTATCTTGATTATTATTCAAAACTTATTGATAATTCTAGAATTATCAGTTTCAATTATTCAATCTTATGTTTTCATCATTCTTAGACTCTTATATTATAATGAATCATTCTAATATATGATAATTTCAAATCACCCATATCATTTAGTAACCTTAAGCCCATGACCAATAATTTTATCATTTAATATTATAAATATACTAATGAGTATAATCATTTGATTCAATTCTTCTAGTTTATTTATAATTTTCTTTAACTTAATCACCCTTTTATTAACACTACCACAATGATGACGAGATGTAATTCGAGAAGGAACTATACAAGAATATCATACATTAAACGTATTAAAACTAATAAAATTTGGAATAATCCTATTTATTATCTCTGAATTATTCTTTTTTTTATCCTTTTTTTGAACATTTATCCATTGTTCTATTGCCCCTAATATTGAAATTGGAAGAAACTGACCACCTAAAAATATTATTACATTTAATCCATATATGATATCCCACTATTAAATTCTATTATTCTAATCTCATCAGGATTTACTATTACTTGAAGGCATCACTTATTAATTAAAAATAAAAANTTTTATTTATGTTAACTAAAATTATAATTATTCGAATTGAATATCTAATAGTAAAAATAGTAGCTAAATATATTAATACAACCCCCATAATACTTATCTTATTAATTAGATAAAACTCCAAAATTAAATCTTTTGAATAAAACCCTGATAAAAAAGGAAATCCACATAAATTCAGAATAGAAATAATTATAACAACTGATTTTATTGGATACAAATATAACAAACCCCTTAACAATCGTAAATCCTAAGAATTTATATTTCTATGAATAAATCTCCCAACACATATAAATATTAAAGATTTAAAAAAAGCATGAATTAATATATGAAAAAACCCCAACTCAACGTAACCTATTCTTAAAATACTTATTATAAACCCTAATTGACTCAAAGTTGATAAAGCAATAATTTTTTAAATATTTATCTCAAAATTAGCCATCATCCCGGATATAAATATAGTAAATCTAAAAATTATAAATATATACCTTATTATATTATCATTCATGAAAATAAAATCATTAAAACGAATAAATAAGTATACCCCAGCTGTAACCAACGTAGATGAATGAACCAAAGATGAAATAGGATTTGGGGCAGTTATCGCAGCAGGTAATCATGAAGAAAATGGTAATTGAGCACTTTTAGTAATAATAGCTAATATTAATATAAATAAACATAAAGACCTTATACTATATAACAATAAATGTCATGAACCATTTATTGAACTAATACCAATCACCCACCCGATTACTTAAAATAGTTAAAGTACCTGAATTTAAGCTATTTTTATTTTGATAATAAATTACTAAACAATATGAAATAAACCCTAAACCATTCCAACCTAATATAATTCTTAATATTCTCGGACTTAAAATCATTAAACACATTGATAATAATAAATAAATAAAACGAAACAAATAAATATCCGCTTCTATATATGTTGGAAATACGCCCTAATATACATGTGAGCAATGCCTGCAGGTTGTGTGATCGAGCGTGGTTTGTGTTGCGACTGTTTTTCACTTCCGTGTGAGCTTCGCATCAAGTAGAACCGTGAGAGCGAGTGTGCTTATAACTTTTCTATTATATTATTATTATTATTATTATATATATATATATATATATATATATATATATATATATATATATATATATGTATATATGTATATATGTATATATGTATATATGTATACCTTTTATATTCAAGTCTATTGTAAAACCTATATACAAATAAATAATCTCAACAATATAATTAACCGAATAAATTATAATAAACCCAGAAATAAATAACACAACTCTAATATACATCAAACCTACTCAATCCAAATATAATAAATAACTAAATTTCATACAATTAAGATTATCAATTACTCACTCAAATAAAATCATAACTTTAAATATTTCTATAAGTATCCTTATTAAAAATAATAATAAACTCAATATAAATGTAAATAATCTAAAAATAATCAAAAGATTTATAATTTAAAATAAATAAATATTTCCTTGGACCCACAATCCAAAATTTTTATGTAAACTATTTAAATAAAATAAATCTAATCATAAAAACAATAAATTTAAAGGAATTCAATGTAATATTAAAACTAAATAATCAATATATTTACCACCTTTAATTTTTAAATAATAATTCATTTCCCCATGCTGAGTATAATAATATATATACGAAGAATATAAAAACCCAAAAAAACATAATAATATTGTTACGGCGACTTGTCCAAATCAAGTCGCTGTAATGTGAAACTGCCCTGTTGTGAGCAACTCCTTAAAGAAAAATAGAAGAGAGGGGTTGCCACGGAGGTGTGTTATCAACAGACAATCGGAGAGTGGGGATCGGACCGTCGAGCGATCAACACCATCTAATTCAAAGATCTCTAACATAATTGAATTTAGTTATATTATAGTTTATGTACTCTATTGTAAATAAAATGCCGCGACGCGGGAGAAATGCAGTATAATTCGCAACAATATTAATAATAAAATCAAACTATTACACTTCATATAATTAACCCCATTAATATTAAAATTTCACTAACCAAATTCAATGAAATTGGGCTTGCTATATTTGATGAACAAAATAAAAACCACATTAATCTTATCTTTGGTATATAATTCAATATGCCCTTATTAATTAATATTAATCGCCTATTAGTTTCCTTATAATTTACATTAACTAAATAAAATAAACCAGGAGAACATAAACCACATGACCTACTATCATAATATAACACCTCTTAGCACTAACATCATAAAATGTTAGCATACTTCTAACTAATAATCCTATATGAACTACTGAAGAATATATAAGCCACTAAAAGTTTCATATCTAATTGCCGTAAACAATTTAATCCCAAAATAATTGAACCTAATAAACTATAAATAATAACTCATCTATTTGAATTTATCAAAGATTCATCGAATACTACTGATATTCGTAATATCCCATAAGTACCCATTTTTAATCAAATTGAAGCTAAAATCATAGATCCAAAAACAGGAGCCTCAACATGAGCTTTTAAAAATCAACCATGAAATATAAATAAAGGAATTTTAATAAAAAATGATATATAAAAAAATAAATACAACGACTCACTACCAGAACCATCATCTTCTCCATCATAAAGAAATTCTAAAAAATCCATAGATATAGTTACTATTGTATCCTCCACCACAAATATAAAAACCAATAAAGGCAAAGAAAAATATAAAGTATAAAACATAATATAATATGCAGCCTCTAAACGATTAGGCCCACATTACCCCATTTTACAATCAAATAAAAAATTAATAACAATCCTACTTCAAATCTTAAATAAAAATAATATAAATTCAATGAAGAAAAATAAACCAACAATCTTAACAATAATATCAATAAAATAATTATACAAACATATAATTTTTCACAATCCAAAAATTAAAAAATAATACCAAAAAAATTCATAATCTTATTATAATTAAAGCAAAAGAATACTCATGAACCCCAAATATAGAGTAACTAAATGAATACCCTCTAAAAAAATTAAACCCAAATAATATAATAACACTTAATAATATTGTGGGAAAGTTGAATCTAGCTAAAGGCGGAGCGGTCGAAAATATATAAAACTACAGTAGAAAAGAAGGACGTCTGTACCATATAATGTTTCGGCTGTGACTGACTGCAGGTATAGATTTAGCCGGCGCAGAGAACTGTCCCTTTTTATGACCCACCATCTGGCCTATGTCTTAAGTACCCTGACGCAGTCCCG